TAATTATTTATTTATTTTAATGCTACAGCCCCTCATTTATGAACGCAAATCATTTAAACTGAAATGGTAAATTTTTAGTAATTAGAATTTAAACAAAAAGTTTTATTAAGCTGATTTTTTTTTTATTACTGTACAATTCTTATTTCAAAATATTTATAATAGGTAATACATATCACCTTTTGGACCCAATTTCATTAATTCACTGAGCAGAGTAGGGCTGTCAAAATGGCTGAAAAACTCAATTCGAAATTTGTACTTAAATATGATCAAAATTCGAATTATATTAGAATTTAAATAGTTATTTTATTGTAAAAAATTTTATTACTTCATTATATTTTTCCCCACTATTTTTCTCATAGCTTTTCCTCATTTCATTCAATTTCATTCCTGGTCCAGATTTCATTCAATCACAGAGTGGACAGTCAGTCCTTAAAAAACAAAAAACAAACAAACAAACAAACAATAAAAGCTTATAATGTCCAATTGTTTAAAAACATGAGATGCAGTGGGATGGGGAAAAAAACCGCGCCATAAAGTCTCTAGATGTTTTTTTTCAAAGTTGAAATTGCATTAATTTTACATGGCTTTCTAAACATGCGGCTCTTTTGTGCGATACGCGAGTGCAACGCTGATAGATGTCCTTCTAGAAAATGCTCAAAATATGTGTTCTGTGTGAACGGCTTGGTTTTTAGTTTTGATATAAACAAGATCTTCTCTGCATTGATGTTCTCTTTTTCCGCAATATTTTAATGAGCAATGCAGCAGCGCCGCATCTAGTGACTTCAACTGGATAGGTTAACAAAAACATTATAATGCAACGACACTTACATCGTCACCGCATCTCGTGCGCCACTGATAAGGCTGCCTCCTTAACGCACACCTAAACTTCGAATGCAAAGTTTTTGCATTTGAATGTGGATTTTTATTTTAAATTCGACGAATAATCGAAATTCGAAAAAAAAATTGACAGCACTAGAGCAGTCAGTCCTAAAAAAAATAAAAAACATCAAAAGTTTTTAATGTCCAACTCAAAAGCCCTACACAGTGAAAATAGCTCTTAATAAGAAGGTTTTAGTAGAATGTGCTGCAAAGAACTAGTGAAGAACCTTTATAAGAGTGTATAATCACACAGCCGTCAGAGATCCGTCATTTGCATGGCTGACCACTCCAATGACCTTTCAGATGCTGTGTGCTGAAAGAGTTGCAGTAGATCAGAGAAAGAGCTAGTGCACTGCACAGCCACTGGCCTCTAGAGAGTGAGAGGCAGGGTATTTATAGCCCTACTCATCCCCAGCTGCATGGCTCCTACACCCTGCCAACAGGCAATTGGGCAACACAAGCTCACCCCTCCAGCAACCCACCACACTAGCGTCCATAACGCAAACAGACATCTGGACATCAGCAACCCTCAAAAGAGAGAGAAAAATGATCAGGCAGGAAAAAAAGAAAAAACGGCTGAGAGAGAGCAAGAATAAGGCCTACCATCACACCAACACCCATCATCAATGTGTTCACCTCTGGAATTGATAAACTAGTCCTCGCTAGTCGAGTTAAAATCAGAAAAATAATACAGAACAATGATTCAAAGACTATTTTATTCTCCAGTACAATTTCCTTCAGAGTGTTTGAGGTCAACTTCCACTTCACTCAAAAAATGACTTCTGACAACATAATAATAATAATAATAATAATAACAAACATTTAACTTTGATTTCTTTAAATATGCTTAATTTGTCAAAGTATGATATTTTTAAATTAATTTCGTAATAAAACACACTTGATTTGCCATTTAAAAGACTGCATTTACATGTTAATAAATTCTGTACTCCTCAGTTTAATTAAATATTTATTTATCTTAATGATATATCCCCTAATTTATGAACATCAATCATAAACTAAAATGGCAAATTTTATTTATTTTTTATTACTGTAAAATTCTTAATTCAAAATATTATAAATTAATTATTTAATAATAATAATAATAATAATAATACATTTCTAGCATAATATTTAGGGAGAACTGAGTTATGAGTAAATCTTTAAAAAAATTATAAA